GTTCACTGACGATGTCGGTCGATAGAACTCTGCGTCAGTTTTGGTGGTAAGCATGGCATAGGCAGACCAAAAACAAAAAATACATATTTTTTTAGCGACAGTTCAAGTGGCGAAAACGTTCTAGGCCTTGCAAGTGGTGGTCGGTGGATACAGATCGGAAATCTTTTGCAGACAAAGTGAAAGATGACAAGGTTTAGTTATAACCGTGAAATCAACAATTTTGGGGACGATGTGTCGTACACCAAAATCGGTAAAGATGAAAACTGGTTTTAAAAGCTATTTCACATGCGAATTAGTTTCAGTGTTATCGAAAAAAATTTATATCGTCGTTTAAAGTACAAAACCGCGTATCAACAAAATGCAAAACTGCGTATGTGAATTATGTAAATAATTTTCTAGAGTAAAAACACTCATATTACAAAATGGTTCTCTTTTTTATAAAGCAATCGCATTTCTGGCTAGTATATTTCAGGACGAATGGATAAGGATTGAGCCAAGAGCTTGTGTGAGCAAATCCAATTTTTGGCAGCAAATGTCAGTTACGCGGTTTTGCAAAATGAGCACACGCGGTTTTGTACTTTAAACGACGATATGCTGATCAGATGCAGACCTTCTTTGAAATTTATTGAGGCCAGAGTCTGAAATATTAGTTGTGCGACTGACTAACAGTAAAAATAAATAAAAACGGAGGAACATTTAAATGTTTGCAAGTCTATTTAATTATCCAAAAACAAAATGAAGATCTCATTCTGAAACCGAGTTTTTGTTGTACTTTTTAATTTACAACAAAACTGGAGCAGCAGCGGTGTACTTCAATGGAGCTACTGCAGCGACAGGCGCAACTGGGGCGGAGTAAACAGCAGGAGCGGCATAGCTAGCGGGCACAAAAGCAGCGCCATAGTTTTGTCTCACATCAACCGAGCTGCTGGAGTAAGCGGCATCCAAATGTGCATTAGCGTAGGCAATAGGCGCAGCAGCGTAGGCGGCTGGATAAGAGGCAACAACAGGAGCAGCAGCCAATGGGGCCGCAAATAGTTGTGGCTTGGCGGCAGCGCAGGCAATGAAAGCGCACAGGACAATGATCTGTAATAGAAGACAGGTTAAAAGTTAAAGCAAATAATAATAATTAGCATTTAGGATTGTATTTAGCTTACTAATTTGGTCATTTTTGTGTTGTTTGGTTGCTAAGTGAAGCGTTTAGAGAACAATGTGAATTTTGGTAATGTCATCGTCAGTTAACGCGCAGTACTTATATACCCTCCAAAATTGGTAGAAGTTGCATAATTCAGTTCCGCACATTGCCATTGAAACGTGTGCGGAATTGCACTTTGTATGCTGGTGAGCATAAGCGTTTTTGATATGCGTAACTGCATACAAAAAAAATTAAATAAAGGGAAAAAACAATGTTGCATTTATCTACATCTGTTTAGAGCTAAATGCTCTGCTTCTGCTTTTGACTTCTATGTATGGGTGGCTATTTACTTAAACTCATAATAAAGTATTGTACAAAAGCGCATATTTTAGCAGTTTGTATATGTTCATGAGCTATTTATGCAGGAATCTTGGTATACAAAATGCATACTAGCGTGGGCCGAAAATCCGCTTTTTTTTATTTTGGTTGGTAATAGCAAAAAATATGGTTCATTATGCTCTAAAAATGATCTGTGTGAAAGATGACAATTTTTGGTCAATATCTTAGGCTCGCCCAAGTTCATCAAAGTTCAATTGCTCAAAAAATTAAAAATTCATAAATACATTATTAATATTTTTACTTTTTTTTATAAAATTGTATGTATCTTCGAGAGTATTAGTCCTAAATAACTTGGTGTATGGACCTTTTTTCGTAGAGAATCGAGGTAAGCTAAGAAAAATTTTCTTTTTAGGACAATAAAGTCAAAAAATAAAAGGAAAATTAAGCTAAAAGCAAAAGAGCAAATTAAAACAGAATAAAAATAAAATAAGTTCCAGAAAATTTTATAAGATGCAAAAAATAAAATTTTTTTGTTTGAAACAAAATCAAAAAGTTGAAAGAAACTTATATAAAACAAATTGAATTAATATATTTTTCTTTTCAATACAATAAAATGTAGAAATTTAATTAGAAAAAGAAAAAATATATTTAAATAAAAAAAATTAAATTTGTTTCGAAAATATTTTGTTCTTTTTATAATCTAGGTTCAACCGGTGGAAAAAAAATTTCTGTCCGATTTTTAAATTGCCTGTAATTTATGCCCATTTGTAAAATGACTAAAAAAAAAATTTGGTCTAGTTAAAACTTACACAAATTGTATGCTATCTTTTATGTGACTAAAAATATAAGTTGAAATATTCCAATTTTGTTTTTAAAAGACAAACAATTTTTTTTCAAAAATTTATATCCAAATTTTAAATATACTAACACTCGACCGTATCACAATGTATGGACCGAACAAAAGTTCAATTTGTTCCAAGCGATCTTAAACACTCACCAGGAGAGTATTTCAGAAATGCAAATTCTTTTTCGGCATACTGTAAATACAGCTAAATAGGTATTTTATATAACTTTTTTATGTGATATATATGTCGTTGTACAGGCATTAAGAAAACCTATAGTTGCATACATATACATGACTTTGCGAGCTATGCTCATGCAAACGGCACCCTGTACCTAATATTTTGTTTCAAAAAAAACGAATCTCCCTGTGAAATTATAACCCTTCGGCAAGAAAAATACTAACCCATTTTCACTCAACTAGTTGTTATGTAATAGTTCACCTATAAGTAGATATTTCAGTAAAGTAAGTCGGCGGTATCGTCCTCGGCTATTAATCTTGGCAAATACATAGTCAAGGCGCTCTTCATCAATGGAATTTATTTTTTGAGCCTTTCACTTTCTATTACAAGATGCTGCTTTCACCTTTCCTGAGGGAAGGATGTAGGCTATGTCATTTATAGAAATCGGAGAGCAAGTTAAGAAGTTATAGAAAAAACCGATATATCTACAGTTTTTAAATAACCAAAAATTAATGTCCAATTTTGAAATTAACAACTATTTATGACCATCTTCTAAGTGATTACCAAAAATGTATGTCTAATTTAAAGTTACAAAAATTTTACGTTTAGCTTGTAAATTGCCAAACAATCATGCCTTTTTCGAATTTTTTAATTATGACCGATTAACGCACATTTAAAAACGGCTAAAAATGTATGTCCCGTTTTAAGTTACCATAGTTTTAAAAGAGGAGGTTATCAATTCATTGAAATATTTTTTTTACACATGTGTTACCGGACAACATTGGGCCAGGTGAAACGTTTATAATAATTCTTTTGGATCATAAAAAAACTAACGGTACTTCTAAATTTGTATATAAGCATTCAAGTCGGAACGTTCAGATCGGTATCTGAGTTTGGTTGGGTACTAAAAAATATCATATTTTCACTGATTTTAGGCAGAATACCAACATACATATTTCTATCAAAAAGGATAGGCATGATTGACTGTAAATACAAACAAAGATACCAGTGTACATATGTATGTACATACTTATATAAATGCATTTGCAACGTAGAAGGAACATTTGCTCTAGTTTTATCTCTATTTTCTCATTTTCTGACTGCTTAAATACATTACTTATTAATGAAAATGCAGATAGATGCAAATTTTACGTATCATTCGATTATGCATAATGCAGTGACGACACACACACATATGTACATACATATGAATGCAATTTTGCATTAGCATGAAAATAAAAAACAAACCATGTTAACGTAGAAAGGCTTCCTTCGAAGATGAGAAAAAGACAACATAGATATGCTGAGTATAAAGAATTTATTATGCAAAATTCATCGATACACAAACAAAAACTAAGCTATATTAAGACCGAGGCAAAAGCGCAGAGAACAGCATTGCAAAAGTTCAATTTATACAAAAACCACCATGTATGTATGTATGTGCGCATATATGTATGTATATGTGCTTTATATGAATGTATGGTACAGGGTCGGATTAACATGCGCGAGGGCTCAACGGCCGGAGGAAATGTGGGGCTCTGTAGCGATTACCTGCTATGTAATGTACTGCGCTTTTTTCTTTAGCTAAAGATACATTTTTCGATTACAGCTTCATAGGCTGGATAATTACATATCTAAAAACACGACATTAGTCAACTCTAAATCATAAGGAAAAAATTACTTTTTTCATTTCCTCAAAATTACTTTTCCTGCATTTTATCCCAAAACATTTTTTTCCTGTTTGTATAAATTTTTCTGCTCATGGTAAAACTATTTTTTTCCCCCCAAACAAAATATTTGCTAGAATTTCTTTTCTTTCCAAAAATTTTTCACTCAGGCAAATTTTTTCGCCTAAATGTATTTTTTCTAAAAATGAGATTTAAAAAAAATGTATTTTTTATTTAAGTATTTTCTTTCTAAAAGCAATCTTTTCCAATTTGTGGTAAATTTTTCTATTTTCAATATATCAAAAATTTGATGATAAAAATAACTAAATATAAATGATGCAGATTACAAAAGACAAACAACTTAAGATTTTCCTTTCCAACTTTTGTGCCACCGGAGCACCCAACACTGAAAAAGAAACAGTAACAGCAGGTTATAGTGTTTTTGAGGTTGCTGATTACGACCCTAGAGCATGATTTCAAAAATTCATAATGGCGAATACAATACGGCGGCCAAAAAATTAAAATTTTTCGGTCCCCTTGAAACGTTTTCCTTTGGTTAGAAAAATTCAAATGGCGAACCCAATATGGCGAAAAATATTAGAAATCGATTAGATGCGCTTTAAAACTTTACAATCAAGAGTTCTTAAGGTCTCTGATTACGATTTTATTGCTTTAAAAGGAAACATATTTTATACATTTTTCTCTTTTTAACAAAATTTTTTTAATTTTTTGAACAAAATTTCCTTTTAATATTTAGTTTTTATTATTAAAAAAAAATATATATATATATATTTATATCTACTTTTTAAACTTCACTTTATTTAAAAAACAGCTTGCTAAAAGACAGAGTAACGCCTCCCCGTTAGCAGATATTTTAATTAGTCTTTCGAAAGACAGTTAAGAGCTTTCAAGACTGTTGCCAGAATTGCGCTGTACAAATTTTCAAACAATTAATATTCTAGTGATTGCCGCGGCCGGTCGGCCCATGCCATAATCCGGCCCTGTATATGCATATAAATGCCTGTTCATATGCGACGTTTACAAGTTTAAGACATCACAAACAATAAGAAAACAAGACGACACCGATTATGTTGTTAGAACAGATGACAAAAGTTGTGCACTTCTTCTCGATGGCTCGAGCAGTATATCGTCGCAGCAATGAGAACTTTTTTTTTTTTAATTTTTTTCTATATAGATAGGTACAGTCTTTTTTTCGCTGTTATATTGTTGCTTTTGCATTCACTTGTGCCAATACATAGAAAAATCGGTGATGACATATACATACATACACATACAACACATAGACAATAACTGTAAAGTTGGTACTTGTATCCAGGCGAAAAGTAGGTGAAGAACGACATTAAAGTTGCAACACAGCTGGCACCAACCAACAAATCGACCGACACTTACAGACTGTGGGAAAATATAGAAAACGATGATGGTGATGATGATGATGAAGAGAGCAATTGAGAGAGTATCTATGTGTTATAGAGTGGGCAAATGGGAGTGGTGGCAAGTAAACAATGATGAAAACTTTTTATATTAATATCAGAAGAATTTACTCTGGAAAATGGATGTTGCTCGATATAGTACTTGTGCAACGGTACAGTTGTGTTTGCGAGTGTATGCTCGCAGTTACTGTTTTTATTGCTATTGTTGCTTATGCTACCAGCTGTTTTATACTTTGCGCAATTTCAAGTTGCAAATGTAATTACGCTAAGTGCAGGATTTCTTGTCTTACGATTCCCAGAACATGCCTCATTTGAGTTTGGAATGAGATTTTGCAACTAAGTGAGAAATTATTGCGAAAAGATAACAGAAAAGAACATAAAAATGAAAATAGACAAGCCAGGCCTTTGATGTTTAACGAAAGCGATTACAATAAAAAAATGAGAAGATTAAAGAAAAGTAGGTATTTTGCTTTAATTTATCAAGTTTGAAAGCAATTTGTATAACAAAAAAAAATTGATGGTCTGTCCGCCGGTAATCTTAGGTCGACCTTGTCTTTCAAAGTTTTAAGTGAATTAGCATTTTTTGAGGTGAAACTTTTTTAGCGGGGTAGTGAAATAAGCAATTGCAACGGAAACATGCAACGGAAGTGCATTCATTTTCCCTTTCTTTGGTGCCGCCTGCAGCAAATACGAAGACGAACACGAAGAAGATGATCCCGAAAACAAAAGCGAGCACGAAGGTGAATGCGAGGACGGAGACAAGCACGAAAGCGAAGACGAACCGAAAAAGTAAAATAAAAACGAAGAATACGAATACAAGGACGAAGAAGAACCCAAAACCGACGACGAATATTTATAGGAATTAGGGCCCGAACCCGAAGAGGAATACGAATATGGAGACAAATACGAAGATAAATACGAATGCGAATACGAATACGAAGTCAAATCCGAAGATCAGTACAACCATGTACGCTAAAACTTCCTCCGGATTTTAGTTACATGCTAGGTTTGGAACCCGCCCGCCATCTGGAGTAATGGGAAAAGTGCCGATCTCCTAAAAATAGATCCGAAAGCAGCATTACCAAAAAGATTATCAAAGCTTAAACAGACGCTTCCTTCCATTACATGCAGTTCTGATTCTTAAACGATGCAGAAAGTTGTGCAAATCGATACAAGTGATTTAGAAATCTAAAAACGTCTATCAAATCGATGACATTCCACTGAGCGACAGACTCCAAAGGCATGCAAAATAGCCTACCAATATTATAAGAAGGTTGCCACCTGCTTAACAAGTTAAATTATAATAAAATTATAAGTTCAAAGCAATCCCTAAATAAGGATGCCCAACGAAGGAGATTAAAAAACCTTTTTCTCGAAGACATTTATTCAAAGGGTTGCCGCCTTTTTAAAATTCAAATTTCGTTTTTTTTTTTTGTTACATATTACAATTATGAAGATTTAAGAAAAATCTCTTAAATTTCTAAGAACGATTTCATTTTTGAAAAGGATTGCCACCTTTTTAAAAGTCAAATTCAATTATACAAATTGATATCAATCGAAAGAGGTACAAGAAATCTTTGTATCGAAAATAATTTCCAAGTGCGTGGCCACCTGTTTAAAATTCAAATAAAATTTCAAGCTAAGTAATTAAAGGTTGCCACCTATTTACAAGTCTCATTAATTTTAATCGGTTAGGTTTAAGGATGTATTATAATCAAGAAAGTCAAACCAAATAGATTTAAGAAAGCTTTATTTAAGAAACAATTTTGTAGAGGATTGCTATCTGTTTCAAATTGAAATTCTATTTTAGTGACATTCAATTATATAAGCATAATTAAAAAAATATATTTATAGTATACAGACTGGCGTCAAAATGTACATAAGTTGCTTTTATATTGAAAAAGCCACTTTAATTGAAATTTAACACTTCTCTTTTGTGTTGCATTTGAAATCATAAATCGGCACGATGTTCATATAAAGTTAAGTTATACATATTACAATAAAGTGCATGCATTCTTTAGTCACCTTTTGTGCCAGTGAACTAATTATCTATGCACCCACTAACTTTCTCAATGCCAACTGTTAAGAAAAAGCTTCCAAAGTTTTACTGTATAAAAACGTGTATTGGCAGCAAAGAAGACACATTCACAATTCAATTCGCTAAGCTAACGCAACAAGGGACGAATAAAAATTAACATCAAAAATGACTAAATTCGTAAGTATAAACTTTAAAGTTCAACTTTATTGCATTCATCTGAAATTTGCTTAGATTGTAAATTATCGCTGCCATTTTCTTACTTTGCAGTTGATTGTCCTGTGCGCCTTCATTGCCTGCACTGCCGCCAAGCCAGGTTTGCTAGCTCATTTTGGTGCTCCATTAATCTCAGCTCCCCTTGCCGCAGTTGCATTTAATGCACCACTGGATGCCGCCTATGCTAGCAGTCGCCTCGATGTTAACCAGAGATTTGCGGGAGCTTTTGTACCTACAGCTTTTGCCGCAGCTCCAGCGAAGCTTGTGGCATCTGCTTCAGTTGCCGCAGCCATTGGCTGCTCCAGTGGCCGCTCCTGTTGCCTACACCAACCTTCCTCTGGATGCCGCTTATGCTAGCAGCCGTCTCGACATTAACCAGAGATATGCTGGCGCCTTTGTGCCCACCACCTTCGCCCGGCTCCAGCAAAACTAGTAGCTCCTCCCCAGTTGCAGCTTCTTTAGCCGCTCCAGTGGCTGCCCCAGCAAAACTTGTAGCTTCGGCTCCAGTTGCCGCACCATTGGCCGCTCCTCTTGCCTACACCAACCTTCCCCTGGATTCCGCCTATGCTAGTAGCCGTCTCGACATTAACCAAGATATGCTGGCGCTTTGTGCCCACCACCTTCGCCGCGGCTCCAGCAAAACTAGTAGCTCCTGCCCCGTTGCAGCTCCTTTGGCCGCTCCAGTGGCTGCCCAGCAAAACTTGTAGCCTCGGCTCCAATAGCCGCTCACCTTGCCTACACTAACCTACCTTTAGATGCCGCTTATGCCACAGTCGCCTTGACGTTAACCAGAAATATGCCGCCGCTTTCTTTCCCGCAGCTTTCGCTGCGACACCTGCCAAGCTTTTAGCTCCAGCTGCACCGGTGGCAGCCGCATCATTTGCTGCACCAGAAGCTTCATTAACGCCGCTGAAGTACACCGCGGCCGCGCCAGCTCTGTGGTAAATTTCTATCAATCCCTTGGACACGCTGTTTATTGTTGCCTATTGAGTAGATAAGTGTATTTGTATGTATGTAAATAATATTTAAATCGAATGTAATAAAAGTTTGTATTTAAAAACTAAAACTGTGTTTGGTGGTGGTGGTGAGATTAATCTTCTGGATAGACAGTTAGAGCGGTTAGAATAAACCAGTGCGACTTTGGCGGTTAACGTTTGGGTTCATATACGAGTACATAAAATATATAGTAGGTCATAAAGTCGCTATAATAGGGACTATCGCCAAACTTAGGGGTGAAGTGTGCTAGCTTTCTGGGGAAATGGACACCCTTGTATTGTTGAAGCCTCCGACTGCGTCCCTTATAAAATAGATCACCACATATCTAGACTATACCAATCTAAGTTTTCTCAACTGGCTTCACCTCAAATTATGAATAGACAAAAAGCAGTAGTTGGAAGGAAGCCCCCGGAGCTTTAACATGGATGGGCCGAAACTTGACGAAGGCCCCCCTTTAAAAATCAAATTAAGGCTTCCAAATCATTGAATTATTTAGCAGACAGAAGTACGTATCTTTCATTAGGGAAGCAGTCGATTGCTTGCTCGATAGTATTACGTCGCCGATGAGGCAAATATCTACTCTGATAGGAAAGCGGCGATTAGAGACTTGGGCTCGCTGCCGATCTGCCTAAACCAGGCAGGCGATATTCTGACTATCTTTCAGTGGCGCCTGACAGTTTCCTAGTTAGACTTAAATAGATACTGGGTCACAGTGAATATCAGGAAATTGAGGGCGATTTAGTTGGCTCTGTATGTAGTAGCTTCGAGTCGATCTCATTGTGACAAATGTTGGAAATATAGGGTTGAAGTACCTTTGACTATATAAGGAGAACTTTTACTTAAGCGGCTTCTTACTGTCTAGTTAGCCCTTCCGTGAGTTTCTGGACCTTTTACAAATTTTGCAGTATTGTTGAGAGTTTTTTCAAGACCAGTTCAGACTTTTCGGGAGCGATAAGAACTTTTTTTTGAAACTTTCAGCGTTTTATCAGGCGCTTTCGAGAAATTTAGGAATTTTGCAAGACCCCTTCGGAATTGTTTTGGGATTTTCGGAGTTTCTCAAGACGCCTTCGGACTCTTTTGGGAATCTTCTGATTTTCTCGGGGCTTTTCGTGAGTTTCTAGTACATACTATTTATAGATATTTTTGGAAAACATTCATAGTCGAGGTAGTTTCTCCTAAAGGAGAAACTGCGAATTGTCGCAGTTATATTTGCAGAACTGGATGCTAGGGTGGATCGAAAAACTCAAATTTTAGAATTCGGAATCGGCGGGATGTGGAAAATTTGTATAACCATATCCAGTTCGCTCTGCGTGTCTCTAGGATGGTGGTGGACATACTAAATGTACACAAAACATGAAAGAGGTTTTTCCACAGGCAGGCTGGTGCCCACCACCGCTCTCGTTCTTTTTCAGCCTTTTGTGGTTGATACATCTGATCCCTTGTTTTGTCATTTCCTCTCATTTGCCTCGAATGGAAAGGCGATTTCTTTTGGACGAAAGGACTTTGCGGTAGATGAGGTTTGACAAAGTGCACCTTAAGGTCTCCAAAGCACAAAAGGGAGGAAACAAAAGTGACTTCCCTTACCACACGCAAGGAGTGGAATGCGCTGTTGAGCTTGTTACTGAAGCTCAACGGATGTGTGCGTCTTTAAGGCACGTGGCGCTTTCGAACAGGGAGGTGGATGACATCAGTTCAGTGCCGTTGA